GGGACTCGCAGCGGGGGAGCGGCTGGGCGCCGGGGTGAAGGCGAGGGGATGCCCCCGCCGGAACCTGACCTCAGCTTAGCGGGGAGGGGGCTAGGTCTGCATGTCCTCACTGTCCTCCCGCGTCTCCTACCGCCCAGGTCTCCTTCTCTGAGTCTGGCTCGCTGGGCAACTCCTCCGGCAGCGATGTGACCTCCCTGTCCTCGCAGCTCCCGGACACCCCCAACAGTATGGTGCCTAGCCCCGTGGAGACGTGAGCGGACCCCCGCAGGACCTCGCATGCTCCCCGCATGAGACCCAGCTCAGGCCGTGCCAGCTCGAGCCCTGTCTCTGTCGTCATTGAGAGCGACCGAGGGGAAAACCCCCTCGGTCAGACCTACAAAGCGCCAGGATTTAGCCTGCCTGCAGCCAGTCGGAGACCTCGCTCCCAGGACTTTTTATTTTTTCCAAAAAGAACGTGGAATCCACCAGAGTTAGTGATGTCCCTCCCTCCCTCCCCACATCCCGCGTGGCTCCGCGCACACGCAGGCCGCCGGGAGAACGAGGACCCCAGGGTCCTGGAGGAGCGGACACGCAGCCCCACGCGCATGATTGCTGCAGAAGAGGGACTGGACTTTCCTTACACGCGTGTTAAATTATCGGTCGACGGACGGAGGACAGAGTGTGAGCCTTTGCCGAACAAACGTAAGTTATTGTTATTTATTGTAAGAACAGCCAGTTCATAGTGGACGGATATTTTGATCTTAATAAAAAATGATAACCTGATGCCAGGCTGCTCCTGTGTGCTGTTGGCCCAAAGAACGACCGGATGAACGCGATTTAAGAGTTTGACTCGTTATAATGAAATACAGACCGAGCCTCGCGTTGCTCTGCTAGCCGCGTGCTCCTTGGTGCGCCGGACGGGGCGGGCCTGTCGGGGATTGGTCGCCGCGCGAGGGGCGGGCTCGAAGACGATTGGTCGTCCGTACGGGCGAGGTCGTTGGGGCGTGGCTTACCGTATTTAACCCAGCCCCTTCCGGAAGGAAGCCTGCGGCACTACCTGCTTGATTGTTCTGGTGGTGTACGGTGTACGCCCGCGGCGGGTGTGGTGACCGCGCTTCAGGGGGAAACCCGTGGCAGGCGCGTGGCGGCAGGGCGATGGATTCTGGTCTGTGGTCAGACTTGCGAGGCCGAGTTTCGGTCTGGCCCTCGGGATCCTGCGCGGGGTCCTGGTCCCCGCGCTATGCGTCGTCACTCGCCCCCCTACCAGTCTAGACGGCGGGCGGCGCCTTATCTCCAGGCATCACCTGCAGGAGACACCGGCCGGCCGCCGGGAAGGAGCGCCCGCCCCAGAGCCAGCCTGGCGTGTCCTCGGTTTATTTTCTTTCCAGACCCGGAGCGGAGGGGGCAGGGATGGCCCCTGGATACCCGTGTCCAGGTCACTCGGTGTGACATTTCAAACCCTGCGACTTGTTTTCTTGAAAACTGGCTTTAGTGATCGCAGGAAATAATCGGGAGATACCGAATCTCTAGAAGGCCCCGGGCAAGCACAGAAAACCAAGAGGCTCAGGTTTTATTCTTTGCAAATATTTAACCCTTTGGAGCCAGGTCGGTGCTTTCCCAAAAGCAGGCCTCGTGGGCGCGGGAAGTCCCCAGCTTGGTCGCCGCCCTGCAAGAATCCTTGGCACTGCCTTTCCATTTCCTTGTCTCTGGAACTAAATAACCCACAGTGCATCTTTCTTTGTCCAGGATTTGTTTTTAAAAAAGAGCATCGCCAAGACAGGGTGGGGACAGTTGTCACTCTAGTTCAGGTGGCTGCCCCAAAGATAATTGTGCCCATCCCTGGATGCAGAAATGAGCGCCTTCTGCCAGAGCCAGGACTGCGGAAGGCGGGAGCCATCGGGTACCCATGCTCAGCTTTGGGCAGGATTGGGTCAGCCAGCCGCCTCTACTCTGGCCACAAATTGATGGAAGAGTTACTAGCAATTATTGAAAGATGGTGGGAAGAGCTGAGACGTGAGTCACCTTTTTTTACTTCCTGAAATGGACCAGTCCCCTCCTTCAGGACTTAGGAAATGGTGCCGCAAACTTAAAAAGATAAGGGAAGAGATACGCTGGGTTAATGAGGACCAGCTTTACCTCTCAAGTGCCCAGAAACGGTTTTAATAACTAGGGCTGTGTTCTTTGAGGCTTCGTTCCCTTGGACTATTCTCTCTGAAGCAGAAATACAGATTTCTCCTTTTACCTTCTGCCCAGCTATCAGATAGAGGAATAAACTTTCTATTAAGCTTACTTTTTTTGAGGAACCTTTGATTTATCCATGTTGGAGTTTCTTACTGAAAGAAAACAAGCAGGTTCTTGAATAAAGAATTTCACTAACCGTTGTTAATTACTTCTGAATATTTGCTTTTGAGGAGCTGCAGGATGTCAAAGCTGTGAATGGGAACATCTACCTAATTACAAAGATCGATTCCCTCATCATCCATAGATCAAAAACCTAGTTCCTCTTTTCAGAATTTCCTGTATCTTACCTGTGTTACAATGACAAAAATTCTAGTGTTTTTCCTATTAAGAAGCCCTTCTCTTCTGTCTGTTACTGAATCAAACACCTCAGCCTCTCTCCCAGTATTTGTCAGCCACTCAAGGGCAGGCATCATTTTCTGTTTGGGTTTTCAAGGAAACGGTTTAGCTCTGAAGCCTGATCACAGCAGTCCCTGGTGAGGTGTCAGATCTATGTTTGGTTAGTTACATTAATAAATAGCAGTTTTACTGCTTCCCGGGTCATCTTTAAACATCTTCTGTAATGCAGGAGGGATTTCCCTGTAAATTAAATTACCTGTAACAAATATAAGTTGTATTTTATGCTAACTGAACTTTTAACATGAAATACCCAGTTGGGTAGTAAAATCTCAATTCAAGAAAAGGAGGGATGATCTGAGTGGAATTTTTTAGCTAGATTCACTTCAGAATAAGATGTTTCTCGGAAGTTATAATTTGGATAGCTCTATTAAACTGAAGCAGAAAAGGGATTCGTGAGATGGAAAAGTTTATGGCTATTATATCACACAATTTAATATTCACTAAAAGACTGCATCATTCTGGGAAATTCATAGTCCCTGTGGCAATACTCCCAATGAACTTTAATATTTAATGGATATGAAACAGAAACCAATCTTTTAGTTTTGAATATGGAATAACTTAAAGCTCAATTTTTATCAGAGCCTCAAAGACTGGGTTTAATAAGACACTAAGACTTCTCTGGAAAATTTGTGATTTTGCCACCGCTGCCTAAGGGAGGATTCGAGCTGCCACACATTTACTGAGCTGTGTTTTCCCACGTGCGCATTCACCAAAGTGAGCAAGCGAATAGGCTGAGTGCAGCCTGTGCAGAGAGAACACAATAGATGAAAACTATTTACAGAGAAGTTCCCAATAGAGTTGTGATAAAAGCAGGAAATTCAGAGAGTTTATTAAGCTGATTCAGAGAAGATTAGAGGCTTTTAAACACGGGTCTGATGGATGTAAAAGTAAACTTCCTTGGAAATGCCGAGATTCAGGACTGCCCGTTACCGCCCAGCACCTTGCTGCCAGAGACTGCACGGAAGATGCAGATAAACACATCGGACTGAAAGCAGGAAGTGGCGTGGGCATCCTGGGGACCGAGCAGGTCTGGCAGGAGCGCCTCGGTCCACAGCGTGCGCGCGCGGGGCCCTTGACCCTGGGGGCGGGGGTCGGAGGGAGGCCGGGGCTCTAAGGGGTGAGCGCGGGGCGAGGGCGAGATGAGTGGTTTCCTCGAGATTATCCAGAGCCCGGGGGGAAAGTGGTGCAGAAGAGGGCGGTGACAATGCCGGGACTTGAACCCCTGGGCCGCGGAGTCACGCTGGAGACCCTGAGCCCGGGGCTGAGTCCGGTACCTGGCCCCACCGCACCCCGTGGCCTCCCCCGCAGTCGCCTGTCGCCAGCCCAAGTGCGGGCCCCGCGGGAGGACGGGAACCCGGGACGGGGATGGAGCTGGACCGGGTCGGACCGTCGGTCGAGGTTCCCGGGTTTCGGGGTGTAAGGCCCCGGCTTGGTGGTTTATGCTCCCCAGCGAACTTCCCTGCTGATCGGGATCGAGGCCCCGACCGCGTGGGCGCGGGGACCCCCGTGAATGTCGCCTGACTCAGCTCGAGCTCCGGAGACGGCGCCGACAGCTGCGCCTGGCTTCCTTCTGCCTCGACCTGCACCCGCGGGGACTCGGGGTCCCAGCCGTGGGCACCGGAGGCCGTCGGCCCCGCTGTTCCCTTCTGTTGTGCTCCCTTTTCTTTTTTTGGTACCGGGAATCGAACTTAGGACCTGGCGCTTGCCAGGCCGGCGCCGAGCCCGAGCTGTATCCCCGGCTGTTCTTGTTTTCAGTCGGACCCCTCCTTCCCCCGTCCGTGGCGCAGCGCGCAGCGCTCACAGCCGCTCGGCGACCCGGCCAGGTGCGTCGGCTCTGCGGGCTCCTGAGTCTCCCAGCTCCCTCGATCTCGGGCTTAACAGTTTTTAAGATCAGTCCTTCCAGACCGGGTCTTCTTTCTTGATCATGTCTGATCCTAATCAGACAGAAATTATTACTGATGTCACTCAGTGCCCGGCTTAGCCCCGACCTGCGCACAGGTGGAGCAGATGTGGAAAAAGCCCGACCCCAGCAAGACAATAATTTAAAACTTGTTTGGAGCCGCGGGCGCTGCAGTTCTACCTGGCACAGCTTTGTCTCGGGGATCCGAGAAAGTCCGCCGGGTGACCGACGCGTCATCACTCGTCTATTCGGAAAACTATCTATTCGGAGGGGTCGCTCTCAGGAAAGGCAGAGCCAGGCCGGCGCGCCTCACACAGCCCTGCGCACCACGCAGCACAGCGCGAGCGCTGTGAACAGCTTGACTGCAAATTGCCAGGAAAAGTCTCAGCAGCCAACCTTAACGCTTTAAGATATGCTAGAAGCTGGAATGAACACTTTCCTTTCAAATTTGTATCACTTCAACACAAAAGGCCAACACGGAAACTAGAATAAGTTATTTTATTACAAGAACAAAACAGAGGTGCCAGTTATTTCTAATTTTGCCCATATTACAAATGCAAATTATATATTGCCATAAGATGGAAGTTAACAAACTCCAAAATACTGTAAGTGAAATAAGTTTAACTTGCAAAATTAAGGACATTGAAGTACCCACAGTCATTATAAATAGTGCAAAGTATGTATCATATCAACATTGGGGGTATAAACAAGGCCAGAGGATGTCATAGAAGAGAGAGAATATTAACAAGGCTACTCAAATTCAGAGCAGTCAGAACATTTAATTTTTCTCTTTTTTCAAAAAAAACTGTCGCGCTTCTTCCCAGGCCTGCTGAGGAAATCTGTTAGCAGGTTCAAGATAGTCTTGGGGACCAAGGCATCTTCCTAAGAGGAATAAAAAGATTAAACAGTTAAATTAAAAACTTAAAATTGTTTGATGTTTAAGAAAGTAAATGTATTTTGATATCTAAGAGTACCATCTAAGAGACATACACTTCTAATAAATTCTGCATTTTATGTTAATAAGGTGACTGATCTGTCTGGATATTGAATTATTGAAAGTATGGAATATAGAGTACGTTCATTAACTCCAATCCAGTTTGTGCTTCTCCCATATTCAGATACCAACCCATACCTAAAACAAAGTAGAAACAACTGTTTGAGGACTCTGGAGTGGACACTCTCCAGGGATCTTGTCCAGTGTGTAGCCGGGGCTAGCTGGAGATGGTGCCCCCCCCCCGCAGCCACACCCAGCCCTCAGGCAGTTCGCTTAATGAGAACTGCCTTTAGTTTAAGTATAACTTAATGTGCAGAGGGAATGGCGAGTAGGCTGGGCTGGCTGAGCGTCAGTGCAGTTCACCTGGGTACAGCTCAGGACAGCGTGACAGGTTCCTGGGGACCTCCTGTAAGGGACAGAGTCAGGGTGCCACTGCCGACTGGTCGTGAGGCATTATTTCTTTAATCAAGTAAAGACATGATGGGCCGTCACTGATGTGGCTGCTTTGCAGCAAAGCCAGGCTGCTGCTGCCTGTTCACTGTTCTGTGAGAAGCAGCCGAGTGGGGACCGCAGGACAGTGCCCCTGGGAGAGGGGGCAGGAGCTCGGCATCAGCCTAACCCGACAAACAGGGGCAGCTCCAGGAGGCAGCACTCCGGACTCCTCATTTTTGGAACAGAAGGTGTGAGAAGAAAAAATGTCTGCAAGCCTTACTGGCAAAAACAAAAAGAAAAAAAAACCAAAAATGCATACACACAAAAATGCCAAAGACCAAACAAAAATAAAAACAGAAAGCCCCCTGACTGCTGTACAATTAAACATAAATACATTAGAAGACTTTGAAAAATATTTTTCACATGTTTGAAAAGTACAAAGTTGAATGGTAATAAACAGCAGAACCACTGCTGTCCTCGGTGTCCTCTGAGGCTGGGAAGGAGCATTGGTGGCTGGCGGTGGCTGCACCTGGCAGGACTTGACCAGTGTGAACTTTAGTTCTGGTCAGTGGCGCCTGCTAGGGTATTGCCTTGAACCTCTGAAAAGCTACACAGTTTTCTGTTTACTCTTCTGAGTATCAAGTCAATAAAACCGTATTTCTTGTGAGGCTGTAACAACTCAGTTTTGCTTCCTGCTACATAGTTTCTAACACCTGTCTACCAGGCAGGGTAGCCCTAGGCTGCTGAGACTGGGGGCCTCTGGATGGGACTGGGCCTTGAATGCCTTTTTAAACACAAGCTAATGAGCAATTGGGGGACATCTGGACCAGAGATGCTGCTGCAACAGCCAAAACCAGAACTGTAATACTGGCTATTAGAGAAACGTACTACTCTGGGGCCAGAATACATAGAAAGTAAAAGTTTAAGACTGTAAATTTCTATTTCAGATCAGGGGAAATGCCTGCATTTCTGTTTGAGATCAGAGAAAATATTGGAACACAACTGGGAAAAGCTGGCAACCCCCCCCCCCCAACTGAGGACTGAACCCAGGTCCTTTGCACCAAGCTACATCCCCCAGCCCTTTACATTGAAAACACTTTTATTTCATGAGTACGTATTACAGTACATAAAGTTTACATTCATCTAGGGAGTAGGTACCTGGCATAACACAGATTTCTTTTTAAATCTCCTTCCCTTTCCCACCCTCCTCCCTTCATCTTTAAATATTTTCCCCCATTTTCATTCTCCTCCTTCTTAGTCAAGTTTATGACATACAATGCTTACATTCACTGTGGGTAGTTAGTTGGTATGTGACATGACACAGCTTAAATCTTACTTCCTCTTCTCCTCTCCTTCTCCTTGTCTCCTGGACCACTTCCCATTTTCAAAAGTTCTATCTCCTTGTCTCCTTCTATCCATCCTTTCTTTTGCCCTTTGTACTCTGCCTTACCTAAATGAGAGACACCATTCTTTAAGCTTGTGTCTGACTCACTCAACAATGTACCTTCCAGGTACATCTACTTTCCTACAAATATCTCAAATTTATCCTTCTTTATAGCCAAATACTACTCCATTGTATATAAATACATATTCTTTACCCATTCACCCATTGATGGACATAAAGGCTGCATCCAGGCTCTAGCTACTATAAACATTGTTGTAGATGTATTACTGTATTGTGAGTCTTTAGCTCTTTTGGAAAGTTACCTGGAAGGAAGTACCTGGGTGAAATAGAATTCCTAATTTTAGTTTTTTGAGGACTCTTCATGCTGATTTCCATAGTGGTTGTACTGGTTTACTCTCCCACCAACAATGCAGGAAGGTTCCTTTTTTCACTGCAGCCTCCCCAGCATTTGCTTTTTTTGACTTCCACCATTCTTTCTGGTGGAAGATAGAATCTTAGTTGTTTTAATTTACATTTCTCTAATAGCCAGATATGGTGAACATTTTTTTTAATGTCTGCTGGCCATCTGTACTTCTGTATCTATTCTTTCACTTACCCATTTCTTGATTGGGCCCCTCCTTTTTTTAAATTATTCTAGATAATTAAGAATTTTTTTGAGACTCAGTCACTAAATTGCCCAGGCTAGGTTGAAAGTTTGAGTCCTCCTGCCTCAGGCTCCTATAGCGCTGGGTTTACAGCTCTGTGCCATCATACCTAGTTAAAACAATTATTTTCATTAAAAAATTCAAATACTTGAATTCCAGGGGGGTGTGGGAATCTCGGTTACTATTATTAAAAACTTTACTCTAAAAATGGATAGGGCACTAGACCTGTTATCTCAGCCTTGATGTGGGCGCCACAGGCAGACTTCACAACCTCAGGTCCTCTGTACTCCAGAGCGGCTCCAGTGATTAAGTGCCCTGCCTGGCTCGCTGGTGGCCACAGCACAGAGGGCCTGTGCTTTCCTTCACTGCCCCTATTTCTCTCTGTATGTTCAGGTGCATTTGTGCTTTAGGACAAAATTGATAGAAAACATGAATTTCTCTAACGCTTCCCAAAGAGGACTACAAATGTGCATCTATGAAAGACAAGGGGTTTACTCTGCTGGAGACCTACCTCTGGGCTGCTGTGGCCGGGGGTCCGTCTGGCTCGGCGTCTGTGCAAAGTCCTGTATAGGAAGAGAGGGGTTCTATGTCATCTCTGCACACAGCGCGCTACTAAGGTGCTCATAAATCCTTGGATCCACACAACCACTGTGCATGAGTAATCTCGAGCCCAGATAGGAAAGTGGAGGGGAGTGATATTAGAGTCCGGATTCTCATGTATCTTCTAAAGCAAATGGTGATGACTTAAGGCTTGATAAATACGTATCACCAGGGCCAGGTTACTTCATACTTTGGAAACTAAAACTTTATTTTGTACCATAGCTGAAGCCAATTATATTAAACTATCAACAGGCTTTTAAGATTTTTAAAAAGTATAAATACAACAGCCTATAATAAAAGATTCTGAGTTTTCTGCTGCTAAATCTTAAAGACTGAGTTTTACTTTTAGATAGAAAGTGGGAAACGTGGTATACAATATATAAATCTTTAGAAATCTGTGCAAAATGATCAGTCCCTATTTTAGTATCATTTTCTACAGAATATTAATAATTTTCATTCATGGGGACCTTGAAGAACTATTTTATAAAGTAAAATCCAGTGTATAGTCCCTTGACCACAATATAGGAAAAAAAAAGATACAAGGAGGCAGTATAAGAAATTTCTGTAGCATTTACATATGATATTTTTTGGATTGGAGAAAGGGAGATGTAGAAATACTTTGGACCATTAGCAGGCATTATGTGGGACCTTTGACTGTGGTACTATTTGCAGTTTTGTATTGTTTTCTGAGCACTTGACATGAAGACCAGGCTGGTGTGGATGCAAACTGGTCTCTGCTCAGTGTCACTGCCTGGGTTTGGCTGTCTCTGCCCGAAGCACACGAGCGCTTCACGCCTGCCTGGTTTCTTGCTCGCAGTGTTCACTGCCTTTGACGAGCTATTTGTTTTACTCTTTTGTTGCAGGTTAGTGAAAGATCTGTGAAGGTGGAAACTTTGATCCTTTCAGTCACTGCTGTAGTTCTAGGGCCTCGGGTGGTGTCCACTGCACACGCTCAAAAGTTACCGGCTGCATGTAATGGTGGGCAATCTAAATGGAAGAGGTCATAGTCTTCAGATTTTCTATATATTTTCTATTTAGTTCAATCCTCAGGCTGCAAGAATATATGAAGGATCCTGTGTTGATATGATGGTTATGTACTACAAGATTTATTGTAAGACAGTTTGAAAACTCATATTCATAAATCTGAGTATCTGACTTGAAAACATTTTCAGAAAATGAAACCCAGACTTAAATGTAGCATCTAAGCTGAAGACAAAGCATGTCTATATATGGTTGATGTGGCTGGCTGGTTTATTAACTGGTCATGTATAACAGAGAGTAGTTTAGAAAACATAAACAACTAATTGTCTAAGGTGAAAGGCTTAGGATTCACTCTGGCTGTCTTCTGTTCCCAGCCCGCTGGGTGTGGTCACACTCTCTTGACAAAGACCGATGCTGATGAGGCAGAGCAACGAACAAAGCAACAATGCGACACAGGACCCTGGTTTCTGTTTCACTATTATGAAGAACAGAAAACACAGGCTATTGACCATGTGTGTCACAGGCAAGAACAGTGATTTTATGGTAGAACATTTGAAAGAAAATAGGACATTTTTAGAAAGTAAAGATCTACAATGACGAAAAATTAGTTAACAAGTTAGCAGATGTTAACAAATAACCAACTTGATTTTTCTGTTGTGTTGACTGAATTAATTTAGATTTGGCATTATTACTTTGCTTTAGCACTAATTCCAATTCCAGTTTCGGAGAATTTAACTGAATCAGATAAACATAAGTCTGTTAGTAAGATTTTCTAGTAAACAGTAATAATTTAACATACGGGAACCTTGAAGAACCACTTCAAAAAGTACTTAAAAAGTTTTAGATTTTTTTTAAAAAATAAAAGCAACAGACCCCAACATGCATGTACATATGTGAAAATCATATTTAAAAATTTACAAGCAAGCTGAAATTTAATTGATTTTATTCAGCAACTACTGCCCATTCCTAAAGCTAGACTAACAGTAAGATAAGATAAGTGTTGTGGCCAAAGCCTGGTGGTCTCTGAAACACATTTCTCAAGCGCAGGATTCCATTTCACTAACAGCAAAATCTTCCGATTTTTGAAGCCCTATGGTAGAAATTATGTAACAGTCAACCTCAGTTCTGCAAGTGGCATTTTAGGAACTACCCCAGTACTTTAGAAATTAAGTTTTAAGCGCAACAGTAGATGAAGTTTTTAAGACGTAGTGTAGAGGGCAATAGTCGGTTTACATTTGCTTTGTTCTCAGCCACGTCAGTTCACACACAGCCAGAGAACAGGGCTTAGCTGGGGGTTACCTGGATGAATGAGGCCAACAGGACACAGCTCATCTCTTGCTCCAGGATGACCTTATTCTGGTGGTTGTTGTAGCAGGCAGCGATCAGCGAGGGGAACAGCACTTTGATCAGCCGTGGGTCACTGAAGTACTGGAAGGGCAGCTGGCACAGCTTCTGCAGCACTGTGGGGTGGCGGCCTGACTGCACAATCACCTAGAACAGAAGGGGTCAGAGCCACGGAGCAGAGTGTGAGGATGTGAGGAGGAGGCTCTGACTCCTATGGGAGCTTGTCTAATTATATTTGAAGAGACTGGGAAATAAAAAATTACTTCACAATGTACAGAAAATATGCCAAAACCTGTTTAGACATTTAAAAATTATAATCCACCGTGAGGGTGCAGCTTCCGACACAGAACACCCAGGGCTTTAACAAAGCTTGGCAGCTGTGCCTTAAACCTGCAGAGAGCTCCTGGCCCTGCGCACTGCAGCCCTTCCGTGGCCCCTCACTGAATGCCTTGCATGCAGGCAGATCGATTCCGTATGTAGGCCAGGCCTGGAAAGAAAAGGGACCAACTAGGGGATGGGAACAGTTTCAGCCGGCACAGGCCCCAAAGACCCTTCCTCCAATCCATACTCCTTATCTTTGTTTCCATCAGTGCCATTGAGTCTAAAAGGAGAATTGTTTAGATAAATGAGACCGTTGTCTTGAAGCAGTCTAGGTTTACAACTGTGTACATTTTAAGAAATAGAGCAATGCAATTAATGGGCTTGCAGGGAAGCCCTACTAATTTACTCCTGAGGCCTACACGATAAACTAAGAAATGCCAGAATCAGATCTGTTTCGAGTAACTTAGATTGGACAGTTCTAATATGAAAGAGCTGGGTGACCCAAAACCCACTTCATGCCACAGGAGGAAGCTCCGAGATGGTTAGGAACACTGTAAAACCTAAGGTCAGGATTGTAAATTGTACTTGGAAAAACACGATTTTACAGGTACACACCCAGACAGGACTGCATTCAAATTAAAACCAGAAGGACAGAATGAAATAGCAGAGGCAGGAGAAACATAAATTACAGGGATTTACAAGTTTTCAAAGTACTTTTAACAATACTTTAAGAACACATTCTCCAATGATAATGCAGTTTGGTTTAAGAACAAAATCAACAAAGTAATAGTTCACATATTTTCATTGAATAGCTAAAATGACATCAAAAACCTTTAGAGAATGTTGATAGGGACTTGTTAATACCTTCAAATCCAAAAGGAATTTTAAAGACTTGCACTGTGTGACAATTCTGCACATGGCTATGTGCTGCCATTTCTGACAGGGTGGAGAAAAATATGCCTATCACTTACTTTATTGATAAAGCATTGACTTAGATCTTTAATTACCAGCTGCACAGTTTGTCATGCAGCCAAATGGTCAGCACATTAGAATTTATAATGATATTACTATTAGAGAAGTCTTTCTTTCCCTCTTTGGACAAAAATTAAGAACACGTTTTTCCTTCAAAACTTCATTGTTAAAATGCTATTATTGGAAGGTTTGCTAACTGAAAAATCATTAAACTGCCTGACCTGGCTGGCACAGGTGCAGTGTTAACTCAAAGATGTCACTCCTGGCTCCAGCAGAGCTCCCAGGCCCTGCCTACTGCAGTGTGGAACGAGTGTTGTCAGAACTTTCTGCTCTTGGTCTGTGGAAGCAAAGCCCTGTGAGGGACTATTGGGTCTCTTCAAAGAACAGGGCTGTAGGCTGCCTGTTTACAGGGTGACTTTATCGAGATCCCCAGTAGCACAGTGAGATGCCTGTAAGAAGATGCAAACAGATGGAAGCAGTGTGGCTGGCCTGGGCTAAGAAGTTCCTAAGAGAGGTCTATTCTGACAGGACCAAACCAGACTACTTGGGGGAGTCTATGAAGGCCAGGAAGAGCCTGCCTGCCACAGGCTCAACTGAACCAGTTGTTAATGTCTTCCTAACTGCATTTCAGACCTTGTGGGGAGGTAGGATGAGGAGGCCCAGGGAGGCGCTGGCCTGTAGCAGTGAGCCTTGGGTGCTAATTCAGGTAGGTTTGTGGCACAGGTGGCAGAAGGATGTATGTCAGGAGTCTGATATCAGCTGAATTAGCCAAGCAGTTCCCCTTAGGGCAGGGAAGCAGCTAGGAATGCCAACATCCTGACTGTGCTCAGGGCTTTCAGTACCAGAAGAAAGCTGTCTGAGGGGCTTCTGACAGATGGGGTGGGGGTGGTGAGACGGGGCTCAGTTTTATTCCATTTGGCTATTCCCTCTCTGGCTGTGGCTGATCAAATGTCATCTTGGTCTGCTTCCTAACTCAGTAGGAAGGCAGAGCTCCTCAAGGACTGAGGCTCTCTGAATGAATGCAGCGTGCACAGTGCTTCGTCTCAGACTTGCAATATGGTGTGGTGTTTCACTGGCTTCCTGATGGGGCAGTGAGTAGTCCCTGCAGCTGGTCTGTCACCTCTGTCTGAAGACAGAAGCCTTTAGTGGGCATCTGCCTCACTTTTGAGGCCAATGTAATGCAGCGGGGCTCCACCATGCTCCCTTGCAGCAAGAGTAGCCTACTGTGTCTGTCTGTGGAGGCCACAGCTATCAGTTAGAGGCAGAAAGGATGGTTCAGTCATCATAAGGAACAGCCTTTAGACATGTGGACGCTTTCAGATGCAGAGCAGGGCCGAGGAGCTAAGGGAACTTCCAGTGATGCTGGTCTCATAAAGGAATGAGAGCAGGCCCGGTCCTGTGGTGCAGTTCTAAATGAGGGACTAGCAGGACAATGAGCAGAGCTGACACCTGCCTTTGCTCACCGCAAGCTGAGTGGCCTCAGCAAGCTGCTCGATTGCTCTGGCTTTCAAGGGGGCCAATTGGAAAAAATAAACATTTATCCACATAACACACCCATTAAATGAACAGCTGTTTCATAATGTGAACATAGGGTCACATGCACCCTGATAATGAGACTGTGATAAAAAAAAATTTGGATCTTTAAATACATTCCTTCTCACTGAAAATTAGATTCCTATGTTCTGAATTTCAAAAATATCCTATGGAAATGATCTGACTGTATCAAGAAGCAGGTGATGTCCCCAGGCATAGCTGAGCCAACGCTGGTCACTCTGGAGTAGGGCTTAGGACAGCCCTGCACGTCTGGGGCCTTTTAAGAACAGGCCAGACAGCGCCTTCTTGTGGGGAGCACTATGCATTGTCAAGGAGGGGCAGAGGGAGGAGCAGACCCCATGACTCCTCCTCCTCCTTTTCTGGAACTATGGATGATTCTGGAAACAGTGGCTTTTAAAAAGGAAGCCTGCACTTCGGCGACATGTGCTACAAGCAGGTGGAGAGAGGGTCAGAAAGATCTGGCTGCTGGGAAGCAAAAAGAAACTCATTAAAAAAGGAACCTCGGGGTTGGGGATTTAGCTCAGCGGCATAAGCACCTGCCTTGCAAGCAGGTGGTCATGAGTTCAATCCCCAGTACCGATTAAAAAAAAAAATAAAAAAGGAACCTCAAAAATAAAAACAAAACAAAAAAATCTGATTCTCAGCTGCTGTTAAGCCCACTGCCAGCTACCCACAAACCTCGGCACAACTGCAGTGATCAGCCTCAGCCTCCCACTGTGCCAGGATCAGTGGTAGGTACCATGGTGCTCAGTCCAAGTATTACATTAATGCTTAGGGACACAGAGAACAAGGAAAGTTCTCCTTTCAAAATGTGAGTGACAGTACGGTATGCTGGGAAGTGTCAGATGGCACATGGTGGGAGCAAAGCAGGCAGAGAGCAGTGGGCAGGGAAGGTGGGACCTGAGGGCTGGATCAGACCTGGGCACCTAGAAGATGCAGGTGGAGGAACTGGTCAGTGGAGCTGGTGGATTCAATATCATTAATACCGGACTGTCTTGATGGCATGAGCTGCACCATAGATGCTATAGCGCAGGGGTAGGGTGGGATAGAGAGGAGGGCGAAAGCAACACAGTCTCCTATAGCTCTGGGCTGAAGTCTGAAACTGGCATCAGTGCGGCAGGTTGGGTGGGCTGTAGATGGCTGCTTGCTTGCTGGTGCCCAGGTGGCCTCGTCTTCTCTCCACACAGCTCACAGGCAGCCTTTACTTCTACATGACTCCTTCTCTTCCTCTTAGAGGGCCACAATTCTATTGGACTAGGGACATATCCATATCATCTCACCTTACCATAACTCACTCCTAAAAGCCCCATATCTACGTACAGTTGCAGGGTCTGGGCTTCAGCACTGGAGCTCAGGAGAACACAGATGAGTTGAAGGCACAGCCCTACTCCCTGCCACCAGGCACAGAGGTGTCTGTCACAGTAGCAGCCTGATGCATCACAGAAAGGCTTTTCCTGGACATACATCTCTTGACCAGACAGTGTAAAGTCCCAGACTCAAGAGTGCTGGCTTCAGGCCCTAGTTTGGCTCTACCCGTGGATGGGAGCGTCACTTTACAGCCCTAGTGTCCTTTCTGTAAATGTGGTGGCTGGCAGCCTTCAAGGCTGGGACGAAGATCTCAGGAAGTATTCTGTATTACAACATGGTACAGAACTCCAGTCATGCATGCTTGGTTAGGGTGTCCCTCCCCAGCCCTGTGGCCCTGGAGAAGTCTCTACTGCTAGACTGCAGGGAGAAGGTCCTCCCAGGCTGGGATCCAGTGAGTACTTTCTTCTGACCCCACCATCTCTGTGGAGCAGGACCTGCTCTCTAACTGGGACTCTTTATCAGGCTTCGTGGCATAGGGAAGACATTGCTCATTCCTCTCAGCCCTGCACACATGGACAGAGCTATGCAAACAGTGCTGGGGTGCCAGCCAGGATCTTGTGGTGGCCAAGTAGGAAATGCGACCTGACAGCTTTGAAAAGAAAATCCCAGTATAAGCACGAGGCAAGAAACAGATAGAGTGGTGCAGAGAGACAGAGGCTCAGCTTGCTGAGTATTTAGAGGGTGTGGCGTGCCAGTCAGAAAGAGGGAACAGGCTTGGGCTGGGGCCTGATTCATAGCAGGATGAGACACCCTCAAAGAACATGGTGACACTCTCAAACCCGGAAGTCTTCCCAGGCAGTGCAGTCAGAGATGGCTTTTCCTTTTCAATTCAAAGACACAACAATTAATAGCACCTATTAATCATACATAGCTTCATTCTTGGTTCCAGGAGGGTGAAAATTACTACCCTTGTGCCCTCCATTCCTCTGTGG